CGCGTTTATATCACATCCATTCTTCACTAGGAATTCTATCACTTTTGCAAAATGATCATGAAATTCATTTAATTTCTTTTTATCATCTGTTTTCTTATTATCTTTAGAAATATCTATATCACTTATTAAATCTTTATTTCCGGATAAACAATGCAAAGCTGTCCTATTGCATTTTACTGAAACCCACGAAAAATTGGGCAGTTTACTAGAATTATTCAATTGACCATTATGATAACCCAATAATTTAAAAATCTCTTCAACCATTACAATATTATCACAATGCCTAGCAACTATAATGTACAACAAATCGTTTGTGTTTCTAAATTCATATGTACTAGTAATACTTTCACCACACGATAGGTGATATTCTAAACCTTTAATGTCACCAAATCCAGCGTGATAGCCTGCGAGACATTCAGTAGGCTTTTTGAGGTTGAATTGGATGGAATATTTTTCTAGGATTTGATTGCATCCCTTTTATAAAATAAAAATTTTTAGAGAAACTTTAAAGCCAGAATTTCAAGGTATATAGATATACTTAAAATATATAAGAAATAAATACTTACACTTGGCATTTTATTTGGCAAACCAGATTGTTGTACGCCTTGTTGATCTATAAATATCACAAGAAAATGTTTGTATTTTACCAAATTAAAAATGCAATATCAACAATTCTTAAATGATACATACACTGTCTATTATCTATATGATAATTTATCGACGCTTGTTGGTTTCTTGGAACTTGGTTAGCATTATTCCCCATAACTTGTTGATTAGCCGGAATTTGTTGATTAAAATTGCTTCCTAGGACTTGTTGATTATAATTGTTTACTGGAACTTGTTGACTACTTCCTGGAACTTGTTGATTATTTCCTAGAACTTGTTGATTACTTCCTGGAACTTGTTGGTTAAAGCTAGCTCCTAAAGCTTGTTGATTAACATTACTTCCAGGATATTGTTGGTTAAAATTATTTCCCAAAACTTGTTGATTAAGATTACTCGTAGTATTTTTATTAGGATACGCAGTATTAGGAACCGATTGTTGGTAAGCTTGAGTCGGTGCATTCATTGTGGACATATTTACCATAGGAGTTGGCGTATATGTAACTGGTGCGAATTGTTGATTATTAGTAAAATTGGTTGATACTAAATTTTGATTAATGTTATGATAAGTTTGTGATTGACCAGCATTCACAGTAGGATAAATTTGTTGTTGAAAGTGATTATTCATTCCAGAAGGATAGTTTGCATTAGCGACATTATTAGTGAATTGTTGTTGAACCGGTATCATTCCTTGGTTCATGTTAGCGTCATTCCTAGCATATTGAGGAGGCTGAGGAGGCAATGGTCTTCGTATAACGTGATTGTTGTTATTATTAGCATATGGCATCATTGATTGATAAATTTGCTGTGGTGCATAATTTTGCAAAAGATTGGGATCAGAATTAGATCGAATGAGATTTCCATCATTAAACCCTAAATTTGGATTAAATCCTCCTGGCTGATAAGGTTGCGGCATTTGATTATGAGAAAGCCGTTTATTGGCATTATTATTTTGTTGATTAAAGGAAGGTGATACCGTAAGGCTCAATGTGTTTTTCATGCTATTTGTAATAGATCCAACCGAATTATCATTCTGCCTACCATCACCCAACATCTTCTCCAATCTCGCCCTAACCGTATTAATATCTGGTCTATCCTGCGGGTTTTGACTCCATGCGCACTCATATAGCTTTCGAAAATCATCTGGTGTTCCATCCACAGGTTTCTCTCTTTCACCATTTTTCACTTTATTTGATATTTCAAAAATATCTTGATTATCAAATGGAGGTCGACCACTCGATATTTCCCAGAGTAGTACACCAAGACTGTATATGTCGGACGCTTTATCACGTACGTATTTAGAATCGATGAAACATTGTGGTTCTAAATAAGCAAACATACCAGTCAAGGCAGATACTGTGCTAGAGCCGCTCATTTTGGAAAGACCAAAATCAGTTATTATCAATTTATCTTGGTTAACTAAAATATTTTTTGAGTGCTATCATTATAATTTAAATATTAATTAGAATTTATTCTTGTATGATAAATCATTAGATAGATATTGATATAAAAAAAAAACAATTAAAATAATAATTACCAAATCTCTGTGTACAATATTTTGATCATGAATGCATTTTAGCCCGCTAGCAATTTGTTTTCCCATGGAAATCTTTTTTTTCCAATCAAGATTTTGAAAATTTTTCTGAAGATAATCTCTTAGACTTCCTCCATCAGCATATTGTAGTACCATGAAATATCTTGATGTAGTTGGGTCTTAATTATCATTCATGAAAGAAGTATTCATGAAAGAAGTAGAAATGATAATTAATTACATGAGAAATAAATTATCTAGAAGTTGTGTTTAATGAACTTACCTTGACTAATTCCAAAAACTCGAATAACATTATCGTGATAATGTACAGATCGAATCAACTTAAACTATTCTCATTTACGATAATAATAATAACGTTAAAAGTCAACGAAATGACTATCCACATAATACATTGAATGAGACTTTATAATGTATTTTAAACTAACCTCTTTAATGAAAGCATCAAAATCCTTATCATTTTCGGATTCAGGATTGTCAAATAAAGATTTTAACGCAATTGTTTTCTCAGCTGTTGACCAGTATGCTTTTGCAACTTCACCATATGCACCTCGAGCTATCTCTTTACGATCAGTGAATGAATCGTATGGAATGAACTCTACATGATGACCATCTATTGCTTGTTGCATCCATTGTGATAATTTTGATGCCATTTTTGTGAAAAATAGAACTGAATAGAGAATTTTATCATAACAGAAAGAATAAGTGAACTATTATGATTAATTCATTTACAGAAATGGTACAGATGTACCCTGAATTTAACGTAACCACGGCAACAAATAATGTTTGTGTCATCTGATCATCTACGTGGAAATTGTGAAACGTCTTTTGTTGTCCGAATGTTACTGTATCAATATGGGAAATCATTTATTTATATATTAGTGCAATAGAATTAAATGAAATACATACATATCAATATTGGGTCCTACACCTCGGCCTGGACCACAAAACGGGCAACAGCCGATTTTTATATATGCAAGGTCGAACTAGCCTAACCATACATGCTAAGTCATAGAATTAATTACGTATATATATACTATTTTTCCGTTTAAAAGATCATATTTACCTCAAAGACCGAGGATTTTTTTCGTTAAGACAAACTCCGACATAATTTTAAATGGTCAGGGACTTGGAGCACTTCAAAAATAATTAAATAACTACATGATAAACATGCACTCATGAAACAGGTTTTCAAAAAAAATTCCTCTCATGTTCTTAATATGGACCTTACCTTAACGTTAACTTCTCTTCTGACTCTAACTTCAAAATCAGCTTAATGCGAATGCATCATGATATCATTTATTTACTAGAATTGAACATATTGCGTATTGACCTTAACGTTAACGTTAACTTTCGCTAATTTTAGGCCGATGCTTGTCATGTTACATTGTGACATCACCGGGTTTGAAACTACTGTACCCCAAATTTCATTGGTCAAAAAGTTTACCAGTTAAAAACGTGGACACTAGTAAGGATCACATGATAAACATTATTTAAATTGATTTGTTATTCATCATTTAATTCTACTTTGACGTTAAGATGAAATTTTCTAGATGATTATAATATAAATTATAAATACAGTGAGACCGCACCCTCACACCCTCTCTAATGTACACTCAAATTCTGGCTCAGATACGTATATACATAACCTCCATAAACGCACTTTTCTTACAGCATTGTTCTCTAAGTGTACGTTGTTAAAGTCTGTTTCCAAGTGCATGCACTTAGAGAGGTCTCACTGTATTACGTTGGTGTGTATTTATTAACTACATACCAATATATTATTGCAGGTATATAGAGTAATGCTGTTATTTTATGGGTTTTTGAGAAAATAATCAGAAATCTGCCTTTCTTCATTAAAGGCTGTGATGATTAGACAAGCAAGATATAGTATTTAAAGAAGTCAGCATGATATTTTTTTTCCCTCTCTTCTAATCCAAGTGAATTGGTTTGTGCTTCAAAGAAATTAGTGTGCTCTTTGTTAACGTTTCTTAAAATAGAGTTTGGAACCGGTTTATTTTTAAACCCGATTAAAAACCAAGTTCAAAACTTTATTAGATATTTATGTATTTTTGGTCAATCATATCATTTTCATATGACTTTTTTGATGATTTTACCAAATTTCGGGTCAAAAATTTAAAAAAATTTCGATTTAAAAACTTTAAAAACTTTGTTTCCTTTCGAAAAATTGTTTTCGAAAATTTTCCATGTCCCTGCGTATTGCCCTACAAAAAAATTTATCAATATTATACGTCAATACAAGTACAGATAGAATTTGCAATAAATAGCAGTAGTTTATTGCGTTTTCAAAATGGTGAAATTTCACGAAATAAGAGTTCGTTCCTTATTACGTAGAATTAGCTAAACGATGTAAAATAGTAAACTCGTTGCATATATATCTACTCTCAAATTACCATAGAAAGAGCTCAAAGTCATTTCTTATTTTGCTTTGTCACTTTATTTAAATAGTAATATTGATTTATTTAAAAATATTTATCAAACTTTAACTTTATTCATACCATTGTTATCAGTTATCTAGTATGGAAGTTTAAAATAATATGAATAAAATATTTGGTAATAATAATTAAAATATTACCTATGTCCTTTTACAAATCTTTGTTCTGCTAATTTTTGTATATACCAACTATAAATCACAAACTTACAATGTTTTGCTTGAGATTAGAGAATAGAACCTGGAGATCTGCAAATGTCTATGCAGAGTCCACCTAGTATCGCCACCAAAATCAGGTACGTACGTACGTACAGTATGGAGCTTAACTTCATTCACGATAATAAATATGATTAACGTACAAATTTTTCTTTTGTGAATATCATATGAGTACCGCCAAGGGAAAACATGTCATCGGGCTTTGAATTATTTTGTACCGGACACAATCCCTAAAAAATTAGATAGACTGTATCCGACACAAGATATAATTGAAAGCCCGATGACAGGTTCTCTAACCCCCCTACAGGGACACGGAAATTGCACTAAATCGCATAATTTTACATCATTTATATAATTTTAATATCCGATGTATTCGTTTTATAAATGTATCAGTTTGATTTGATCTGTATAATTGACTATTACAAAAACTGATTATAATAAACTGAACGAGCTAATAGTATAGTAGTACGTTCAAGTGAGAAAGATTAATTTTTATATTAGTATGTAAAATAAAATTTCTAGTAATATATTAAAGTGCGAAATAAATTTTTAGTATATTAAAGTGTAAAATAAATTGATACATTTCTCTAGTATGTTAAAGTGTAAAGTAAATAAATGAGATAAATTTCTCGTAGTATGTTAAATTGTAAAAAGCGTGAAATAAATTTCTAGTAGTATGTCAAGTGCAAAATAAATTTTTAGCAGTATGTCAAGTGCAAAATAAATTTTTAGCAGTATGTTAAAGTGTTAAATAGATCAATTTTAATAGTATGTTAAAACGCGAAATAAATTTTTAATAGTATGTTAAAACACGAAATAAATTTTTAGAAGTATGTTAAATGCAAAATAAATTTTAGCAATATGCTAAAAGCGTTTAAATAAATCAGTTTTTAATAGTATGTTAAAACGCAAAATAAATTTTTAGTAGTATGTTAAAATGTAAAAAACATATTAATAAAGCGCAAAATAAATGTATTCATCTTTAAGAAAAAAAATTTTTTTTTAAAATGGGTCCAAAAACAATTACATTAAACAGTAGAGCACTTGAATTTAGTAATGATTTTTATAACGATAATAACAAATTTATGTGCAGATTTTTTATCACAGTGTTGATTACACTATTCACTCAAAAATAACAGCACATATTAAAAGTAAAGATCATAAGCAAAAAAAAGCTGCTGCAGAACATACAAACCCAATGCAGCAATTAACACTTACAACAACTATACAAGCTGCTAAATCTAAAAAAGGTATTGTTATCTTATTTGTAAAAGCATTAGTTGAAGCAAATATTCCACTTGAAAAGGCTAATAAATTATGATCTTGGATAAGAGAAAATGTTAAAGAAGGAGGTGCAATACTAGCCACAGATATATTATGAAGAGAATATTTACCTATTATCTTAAAATTTTTTTTAAAAATAAAAAAGTATCAATAATCATTGATAAAATATCTGATTCATGTGCTTATAGCTTTGTAAATATTCTTTTTTCTTATCACAGTAAACTAAATTAGTTGAAATAGATTTTTTAAATCAAGTTAATAATAAAACAATTAGTGAATTAATTATTCAAATATTGGTCCAATGGTCTATACCTTTTGAGTATCCCCGTCTTATTACTTCAAACTTTGCTGCATATATGAAAAGGTGCTATCCTAAAATTCTAAAACTACTTTTACCACAATTAGCACATAACCCTTGTTTGGCTTATATTACAAATTTAATTAGAGAGGCTTAGATTTCTATTAATCAATTTAATATTGTTAAACCATTTATTAATCAAATTAAACAAACACTAATATATGCAAAAGCATGTCAAGATCGCTATATATATTATCTTTAGTGTAATAGAGTTATTGCATCAAAAAAAGTTTCACTCCTATTTGAAACATGTTGGAATTCTTGGTTCCAAATGGCCTTTTATGTTAATGAAAATTTGAATTTAATTTATATATTTTATTAACAAGAAGCAATCAAAAATCCTTCTATGTCTGTTAATTAAATTGCTACTATATTTGAAAATATTCAATCAAATAGTTTTATTCAATTTTTTTTGTGTTTTATTACTATCAATGCATAGTTTCTTTTTTCAACTCTAGATTTTTTTCAAAAAAAAAAAAAAAAGTATTTTCTTTAATCAAAACCCACTTAGATCAACTTGGCCAATTTTTAGTTAATAACAAAAATTTTACCAATTTTGAAAATAATCTAAATACATTAATTATCCCACTTAATTTTTAGCCAAATAATTTTATTTCTATTTTTTAAAGTGCATTTGAAAAAGCTTACTATAAATATGAAACTCATATTATAAATCATCCTGCTTATTCTCTTTTTCATAATTCTTAAATCTTTTAAAATCTTCTATTCTACAAATTTATTCCTGAACTTGAAAATCTATCTACTAATTTAATTCAAGAATGGGATATATATGTTAATTTAAATTTAATAAGAATTAAATTAAACAACTTACAAGAATTTTGAAATAAAATAGCTTACTTATTATCTGAATTAAGTATAATTGCTTAAAATTATATTTGGTTGCCCATATTTTTCTGTTCTGTTAAAAAAGGTTTTTCTAATTATAATGAGATTTTGGCAAATAACAGACAAAATCTAAGTAAAGAATTATTAAAAATATTAAACATGTTGTATTTTAATAGCACAAAAAAACAATAGCAAATATTTAATTTAAAATTTAAGATAATATTGCTAATTATAAATATTTTATTTATTCTTATTATATAAATTTAGTTGAATATAGTTTTTTAGCAAATAAATTATAAATAGATTTTTTAGTTTTTAAATAGACCAAGTATTAAAAATTGCAGATCAGTGTTTGTTGGTTAAGCATAGTATTTAAAAATATTTGATAGTTAAGTACAGTATTTACAATATAGCAAATTAATATTTGTTAGTTGGATACAGTATTTAAAAAATTGCAAGTTTTTTTTTTTATAAGATAAAATTGTTTTTTTTGTTTA